TTAAGTAGCCCCTTAAGCTATACCCTCTAAATCTTAGTATAGCCGTATATATTATAGTTATAAAGGAAGCGGTAAATATAGTATTATAAGAAGGGCTAGTAAAAATCCCTTATAAGGCTTACTATTATACCTTACTAGCTTAAGTAGCCTATAATATTAAAGTTATAGACGAGCTAAACTAGCTTCCCTTAAAGCTTATTTTATTTATCTAGCTTTAGTAGTCTATCTTTCTCCTTAGCTTCTATAGTATATAGTACGCCTAATACCTATAGTCTCCCTTACTAGCGTAGATACCCTTATAGGTTAATATAGTAGTTAGCTACCTATACTTTTAACTTTAGCTTTAGATTTAAGCGTTAAGCGCTAAACTCTATAGCGTAGCGTATGCCCTTATAAGTATAGTCTAAAGCCGCTATCTTATCCTATAAGCGTTAAAGGGCCTTATCTTAAAATACTCTCGCCGCGCGCGCCCTTAGGCCGGTCTATCCCTCCTTACTAGGCCGAGGTAAAAGTATAAGGGAAAGCTTATTTAGTAGTAAAGGTATAAGAGAAAGCTCGTTTACTAGTACCGCGCCTTCCTTTATTAAGGAAGCTCCTATATAAGTCTATAGTACTTTTTATAAGATAAGCTATAGATCCTAGGCCTCGATATCCGCTCTTATTAGCTAGTTTTAATCCCTTTAAGAAAGCGCGTTTAAGATTATAGAGTCCCGCGTAAAGCAGTACTTAATCGAGAAGTTAAAGCGTAAGAGATACTCTGCTTAGCGGGCTTACCGCTCTAAGAGGTACTAATAGGTTATAAAGTACTTAAGGTTCCTATAGTCTATAAGAACCTTAAAGCTCTTATAGCTTTAGAGCTCTACTTACTATTACTTAAGGTAGCTAATAATTACTAGTATCTCCTTATTATAAATAGTATAATTCCGCTTTACTAAGGTTAGCTTATAAGAGTAAAACGCTATTAATTACTTTTACTTATCTACTTTTTAAGAAAGCGTTCCTTTAAGTACTTAGCTATTATAGTTTACTTTAACTAATATAGACTAGTTAAAGTCTTACTAAAGTAGTATTAAGGCTTATAAGAATAAGTCCTTAAGCGTATAGAACGCTCCTTCCTATATAGGCCCTTAACGAAAGGCGGTTTATTTCTTAGTAATTTTATTTAAGGGTATTATAATATAGGAGAAGCCCTTAATAAATATCCTATAATAGTTTATAAACCTAAGAAAGCTCTATATACCTATCTATATAGTTAGGGCCGCTTAGTCTTAGATCGCTTAGATCTTTATAGGATCTACCTATATACCTATACTTATATAAATAATAAAGCCTAGGTATTTAACCCTCTTAACCCCGAATTTATACTTATTTAAGTTAAGGTAGAGCCTATAAAGCTAGAAGCGCTTTAGGACCCTCTATACTTTTTATATATAGTTCTTATAAGAGCCGCTTATATAGATAAGGATATTATCTATATATATGAAAGCGAACTTATTAAGGAAGTCCTAAAGTATATTATTAATATAACGCTAGAAGGTAGTAAGCGCTCTTAAGAAGCTAAAGGGCGTTATAAGCTACTTAAATAAGCTATAGTATATATAGAACGCTGTCTTTTACTTATTACCCTTTAAGATCTATACTTTATAAAACGCTTATTTTATATTTAGCTTTATAAACTACTTTACTTTTATAAGAATATACCCTTATATTCCTATTTTACTATTATAAAGAAATAATAGGTATAGGGAGGCTTTATAGAATAAGCTAGTAAAAAGAGGCTCTATAATATAGTTTAAGGGAATAACCCTTAAAAGATAAAAACCTCTACTAGATATCTATATCTTCCTCTAGGAAAAGCGGGTTAGGATAAGCCTATCCCTATAAACAGAAATATATATAAAATGCATAAGTTAATTACGAGTAGAACGGTCACCCTATTGCCTATTTTAGCCTAGCGGTTCCGAAGATATCCGCGATACGAGAATAGGTAGGGCATAGAACATTCTAGTTAAATCCACTACTTATACTAGAACCCATAGTCTTACGTTAACCATCACGCTATAATTAGACTACCTACTAAGTTAGGAAGATATACTATAGATAGAGCTTTTTAAGCACTATAGAATATACTAGAAAGCTAACTAATTAGTCTACTAGTAGGCGAGTAATAGTCTATAAAAGATAAAGGATTTCCCTAGGAGTAGTAGATAGAATAAGTAAGTTTATAAGTATCTTTTATAATGCTATTCTTTTAATATATTATTCGGCCCCTTATATACTTATTATAAATTCCGGATAAAATCCTACCCTATACTCCTTTAACCGACCTTTCCGCTTACGTTATCGATTACCCGATTCTACGATTATTACTTATACCTTCTTATAACTTTTAAGAGGTTATAAAGTATATCTAAGATTAAAGGTAAAGGGTAGCGGTTTAGCTTTATAATTACGTTTAAAGCCTTATAGTTATAATAGAACTATATCCCGCCCTTTAGTTTACGTATAAATAAGACTAGCGCTTTTACTTTAAAGCTACTTACTTAAATAAAACCCTTATTTAAGAGGTCCCTTAGCGTCTTCTTTAGTATTAGTAGCTCCGCGTATAATATACTATATAGCGGTCTAAATAGTATAGGTAGTTCCTACCCCTTCTTATTAGTATAGAGTATAATCTTATAGTTTACCCCTAGCTTATATAGGTTAAGCTTATTTACTTTATAGGACTTAAATAGTAGTAAGAGGTTATAAAAGCGCTTTAGTATCTACTACTATAGCTTAAAAAGCGACTTTAGCTTTTTTATTTAAAGGGCTTTATCGATATCTACTAAGCTAACTATATAGACTATAGTATTAGCCGCTGCCTAGCCTTACCCTTACTTTACCTATTATATAGTTCTTATAAAGATAAAGGTAAGGACTTCTTATACTAAGTATAAAGCTTATACGCTTAGTTTTATACTTATAAAACTATTATTATAGCGGACCTATTATTATATAGGCCTAAACTATAGCTTCCTTTAATATAGAACTAAGTATAACTTTATATATAATAACTAAGGTTTCTTAAGGATTAAGGGAAACTCTAGTTAAGGGATTATATAAGCTATAATAAGCTTATAGTAACTATCGACCTTTATAGCTAGCTATATAATACCTTTAATTACTATACCCTCTATCGCGCTTAAGGCACCCTTTACTTACCTTAGGGCAATCTTTTCTACTAGTACTTATATCTCTTATATAAGCGCCTTATTAACTATAGTATAGTACTAGTAGCCCTTATCTATAAAGGCAGTAATAAGTAAGGAGTTATTAATTATAACCTATATTAAAGTAGGCTCCTCCTTTATATAGGCGGATAATTCCTCCTTCTCTTTTACTAATACTAGTAACTAAGGCTTTAGAGCTTATCTTTACTTTAGAGCTACTCTTTTTCTTTTAGGCTTAGGGGGGCAGAGTCCTCCTTATCGTTTAAAGTAAAGAGTAGTTTTATCTTTACTACTTAAACCGCTATAGGCCGCTTAGTTAAAAGGAAGGGGCATTTTAATATAAAGTATATAAACGTATTATAACGTAAGTAGCGGCCGTTAGCCTTCCTTTTCCTAATTTCCTTACTTATTACTTACTTTACTTACTACTTAAAGTATAAAGCGGTATAAGAGGTAGTTAACGGCGTCTTCTTATTATATTTAGCCTAGTCTATATAAGTAGTAGATATTAAGGTATCTCTATTTATATCGATAGCTAGTTATTTATCTTATAAAAGGGCGGTAATCTTATCGCCGCTATATAGCGAGCGCTTATAAAGCTTTTAAAAATATAGCGTTTACTTATAGCCTTATACTACCTTTATTAACTAGCTTATATACTCGCTATAGTTAGTAAGTATAATTATAAGGATAAGTAGCTCTTATAGGGCTAGCGTAATCGAATTCTATAGCTATATAAGCTTCGCGCTATCTTCCTATACTATAGTCCCTACTACCTATAAGAGCGTCTCTTCGAAATTAAGTAGGAATTCGCTAAAGGTTTATCTATTTTTTTACTTAAGGGTCTATAGCTTATCTTACGCTTTCTCCCGCTCTTATATATTACTAAACGTATATATAAGGTATTAAAAGAAGTCTTATAGGTCGCGTCTACCCTTAGGGCCGCCCTTATCTTAGAATCTAAAGATCCGCTATATCTAAGGCTCTAGTAGTATATAAAAGAGTAAATACTACGCTATATCGCGATAGCTATTTAAGCCTTATTTCTTATTAGTTATAAACTTTATCTATAGCTAGCTAAGAAAGAAGTAAAAGGACTTTAGCTTACTATCCTAAGTTAGCTAAGGGAGCGGCTTCTACGTTAGTAGTATCGCCGCTATAACTAGCGTTATAGAGGTTATAGGGGTTAAAGCTAGTTTTATAAACGGCTCCCTATAAGGAACGGTGTTCCTACTATAAATAAAGCAGCTATAATATACTCTCCTAATTATATAAGCTAATAAGTAGTATATTAATTATAGATAAAATCTTATCCTATAGAGCAAGAATCGCTTATTATTTTACATGTTATTATATATTAAACGGGTTGCCGGTTATCGTATAATCGGGAATCGAAGGAATAGAGCTAGCTTAGAATACTAGCTAAGACCTCTTAAGAACACCGGCACGACTAACCTCCTTTAAACATAAATATTAGTGGAACTAAGACACTTCTAGACTTACTCGAGGTATCACGGAATTCCCTAGTCTTAGGGCTATACGGCAGCCTAAATCTAGTCCCGAAAGGTTCTTCCGTTTAGCTATAATTGTCTATATAAGACAGTATGTCCGCTGGTAGATAGATAGGAAAATAAACTTTAATACCTCTTCTATATACTAATATACTACTAATAAATTCCGTTGAAAATCCTACCTTATACTCCTTCTTCCCCTCTATTACGTAGTCTTACGTGATTCCTTGATTTCCTAAAATTCCGCTTTTGCTTATATAAGTCCCTGCACATAGAAATGGGCACCCCCCTGTTTTGGGCACCCAAGATGGGTGCCCAACCTAAACGGCTGCGTCAACTTCAACAGCAAATTTCACCGCGGAAACGCATCCAATCTGCTAAAAAATTGACGCATGTGTCTTCAAGCCACTACTGATGAAATATACAGAGTCTGACATTCACAGCGCCCTTGAGGCAATCGCCAATGGCGGATCCGCCAAGAAGGCTGCTCGCGATTGGGGCGTCCTGAGGGCAACTCTTTACAATCGCATGCATGGTCACGAATGCAGAAAGGATGCATTTTCTGCTCTTCAGAGGCTTTCTCAGACACAGGAAAAGCAACTTACCGAATGGATTCTCATTCAGGACGCCTTGGGCCTTCCTCCCACTCACTCGCAGATCAGGCAGTTCGCGCAGCGCATGCTCGCCGTCAAAGGAGACCACACACCGCTCGGAAAACACTGGATGCAAGCATTTTTAAGACGAAATCCTGCAGTTCGACCCAGAAGTGCCATCACAGAGACTCTGCGCGTGTCAACGGCGCTTCTACCGAGGTAATTCGGCCTTGGTTCAACAATTTCTTCCTTCCCGAGATTCTGGCTATTAAGCCGGAGAACAGGTACAACATGGATGAAGCAGGCATCATGGAAGGACTTGGGGAGAATGGCCTGGTCGTTGGCAGTGCTGAAAAACGATCTGTACAAAAGAAGACGCCTGGTTCTCGGGTCTGGACGTCGTTCATCGAGTGCGTGTCCGCTGCCGGCACCTTCCTCCTCCACTCGTCATTTTCAAGGGCAAATCGGTCCAGAAACAGTGGTTCCCAGAAGATCTCAGTACTTTTAGTGACTGGCAATTCACTGCGACAAAGAACGGCTGGACTTCGGACCAAACTGCGGTGGAGTGGCTCGAAAGGTGTTCATTCCAAGAACCCAGCCACCCGACCCTTCGGAGCGAAGACTGCTAGTATTGGACGGCCACGGAAGTCACGAGACGGTTGACTTCATGTATCTATGCTACCAGCATCAGATTCACCTTCTTTTCTTACCTCCCCATACCTCTCATGTGCTGCAACCGCTCGATTTGTCTGTCTTCCGCTCTTAAGCACTACTACCGCAAACAGGTCGGATTTCTCAGCCTCCTGACCGATTCAAGCCCAGTCGGCAAGCAAAACTTTCTTTCCTGCTACCAGAAAGCACGCGAGCAAGCGCTCACTGTGTCAAACATCAAGGGTGGCTGGAAAGCGACGGGTTTGTGGCCGGTGTCGATGGCGAAGCCACTTTGAGCCCTCTTCTGCTGGAGAACAGCAACAGACGCAAAAGAACGCGAAAAATGTGGCCAATGCATTCAATAGCCACTTACCCACCAGTGACTGGCAATCAGACACATCCCAGATTGCGTGGTCGACCCCGAGGCGCTCGCAAGATCTGAAGGTTCAGGTAGTTCAATTCAACCAGCTAGACGACGACGTGCCCACGAAGAGATTGCTGTTCAGGAAGATCACAAAAGGGTTTGACGAGAAGGATGGCCTTTAGCAAAAGCTCAATTGCAGATTCAGGCACTGGAAACACAATTGGCGGCCGTCAAGCCGAAAAAGGAAGAGGGTGGTCACGAGCCCGAATTCGAGGTTCGCCAATATTGAGGCAATACGACGGGCGCAGGAGGAGGTGAACGCAGCTGAGAATGAAGAATCTGATGAAACCGAAGCTGAGGTTTCAGAAATAGGTGACGATTGTATCGTAGTGCACGGTGGTGGGCAGTGAGAAGGGATTGAATTAATGGTGTTGAAAATGGTCGTGATTTTTTTGGGGTGCCCAAAACAGGGGGGTGCCCATTTCTATGTGCAGGGACTTACCTTAAGACTCCCTTAGTATAGCGAGAACCTCGTCCTTCTCGCTAGCCGTTGCGCTTTTAATCGCTTCTAGGATAGCTATAATACTTCCTATCTATCTAAGGAGGGGCAGAGTACTTTCTTAAGGAGGAGGCACCCTCTTTAAAGAGATATCTATTAGATTTATTAGTTAATAGCTTATATTATTATAGAGTAAGTAGAGGTATATATATAGGTACTATTTATAAGATAATATTAATAAGCTATATAAAGCTCTTTTATACGTAGCTAGCCTATATATATATATATAAGATCCGGCCCTTTATATATAACTATATAGCTTAGGCTATAGCTTAAGCCTATAACCTATAATAGTTAAAGACTTTTATAACTAAGACCTCTTTTATACGCTTACCGGCCTAATTATTTAGCTTTACCCTTAAGGGGTAGGCTATAGCTAAGGGGGTATATCGCGAAGTATAGCTTAATTTTATAGTTCTTAGAGATATCCCTTAGTAAGAGGGACCTAAGAAGCTAAAAAATTAGTTTTAAGAAAGGAGCTAAAAGGAGGTATAAAGAGGAGGGTAAAGGTAAGAAGGGAAGTAAAAGTAATAATAGCTTTTTATAGAGGTAGCGAAAGATAAGACGGATATACTAGTAACGGCTAAAAAGGAGGGGAAAACTAATAAAAAGCTTAGTAGTTAAAAGGATATTAATAGCTTCTTTAAGTAGGATCTTCTTTATTAATTAAGATACTAAATAAGTATAAAGAAAAGCGTTAAATAAAGAAAAGAAGGATAATTAAGGTAATATAATAATTATTCCCTTACTATAATTACTACCCTTATAAGAATTATATATCTCTACCTTACTTATTTAACCTCTTACTTTTAATTTTACCTTTATATATTTTTATATACTTCTTATATCTCTTTATATAAGAATAATAAAAGAAAGATTATTTAAAGAATTATTTAAATTCTTAGATTTTACTATTTTAAGAGATATAAAAGACTTCTTAGGTTTAAATATTATAATAAACCGAGAAAATAAAGAGCTATATATATCCTAAGAAAATTATACCTTAAATAAATTAAAGGAATTTAATAAAGAAGGTTTAGGAACTTCGAATTTACCTATTATAGTAAGCTTTAAGCTTTTAAAAGCAAAGGAATTACCTTTTAAAGAAGATATATTATAATTTTTAAAAAGAAATAGGATCTTTATTATACTTAGCCTTATTTACTAAGCTAGATATCTTATATTCTATAATATCCTATATTAGATTCGCGGCTAAGCCTAACTAAATATATTTTAAGGCTTTAAATATAATTTAGAAATATTTAAATAAACTCCTTAGCCTAAAGATTAAATATAATTATAATATCCCTTTTACCTATTTATATATAAAGGGTTTTACCGACTCTAGCTAGGCGTTAGATTTAATAGATAGAAAATCCTTTTCTAGTTACTATTTTTATATATATAATAATATAATAAGCTAGGCTTACTTTAAGTAGAAAGTTATTGCCTTTTCTACCTATAAAGTAAAGTATATTAGCCTTAAGGAGGTAAATAAAGAAGCTATTTATTTAAATATACTTTTTAAATATATTACTAAGGATCTATTTATTAAGATTCTTAATACTATACCTCTTATTTTAATAGATAATACTACTACTATTAAATTAGTAGAAAATCCGGAATTTTATAAAAGGTCTAAGTATATAAGATTAGCTTATTACTATACTAAAACTAATATAAGAGAAAGGGAAATTAGAGTTTTTTTTATTAAATTAAAAGATAATATAGCTAATATTTTTATAAAGGAATTAAGACCTAGATTACTTTATAAATTTAGAGATAGTCTATCCTTAATATAAGTTCCTAAGTAATTAAAAAGTAGTTTTTAGATATTTCTTATACTTTTTATATCTTTCCCTTACTACGTTTTTCCTTTTTAGGTTTCTTAGAAAAATATTTACTAGGTTTTTATCTATTAAGATTTTCCTAGTAATTATAGGTTTTACTTTATATAAGGTTATCCTATAAATAATTATTATAACTATAGATTTTTCCTACTATAGGTTTTTCTATTAGTATATACCTAAGGATTTTTTTTCCTAAGAAAGAATAGGTTTTTATATATCCTATTAAGGTATAAGAATAGTTTTTTTAAATTAGGGTTTTACCCTATATATATACTACTATAAATAAATTAGTAAAGAGTATATAAATCTACTCTTTAAGGGAGGCTATAAGGAACGGTATTCCTACTATAAATAAAGTAGCTATAATATACTCTCTTAATTATATAAGCTAATAAGTAGTATATTAATTATAGATAAAATCCTATCTTATAAAATAAGAATCGCTCGTTACTTTATATATTATTATATATTAAACGGGTTGCTAGTTATTATATAATTAAGAATTAAAGGAATAGAGCTAGCTTAGAATACTAGCTAAGACCTCTTAAGAATACTAGTATAACTAACCTCCTTTAAATATAAATATTAATAGAACTAAGATACTTCTAAATATACTTAAGGTATTATAGAATCTCTTAGCCTTAGGGCTATATAGTAGCCTAAATCTAGTCTTAAAAGGTTTTTTTATTTAGTTATAATTATCTATATAAAATAGTATATCCGTTAGTAAATAAAGAAAAAAATTTATTAACTTTAATACCTTTTTTATATACTTATAAGGGAATATATATTACGGTACGATTAGTTAGGTAGTAGAGATAGCTAGAGGTACTATACTATATATATTATATTCTCCTTATTATAAGACTAAAGCTTATAAAAAGAAGAATTTTTCCTCTTTAGTTAGAGTAGTAAGAGGTCTATAATATATAAGTAAGGTAGGTATAATTCCCTACTAATACCCTACTAATATATTAGTACTATATATCTAAGTACTTTATTAGCTTATACCTCTTAATAGCGCTCTTATAATTATCTCCCTTCTTATATAGACGTCTTAGCTATATCTTTAATATATATTACTTTTACTATACTATATATATTTAGTTAAAAAGAGAGATAGTTTTAGTTATATATCGCGCGTATACGCCTATATAAGTATACGTTAGTCTACGCTCTATAATATTAATAGTTATTATACTAACGGTTACCGCTAAGTAACCGTTATAGTATTACTTATATATCGGCCGCGTAACTATAATATAAAGAGCGTATATATATATCTCTTACTTCTTTTATTTTCTTTTCTTCTTTAACTCTTTTACTTATAATTACTATAGAGTTTTACGCCCTTTTTTTATTAATCCCTTATACCTTTTTATATTACTTTTTATCGATAATTTATTAATAATAATACTTTCTATACTAATAAAGATAAAGAACTATAACGCCGATTTCCTATACTATATATAGAAGTAGGTAGCGGCGGGTTTGCCTTTAAAGTATAAGCGATTAGCCTAAAAGTCTTATAGTAACGCTAGTTCCCCTTTAATAAAGAAAGCTAAGAAAGGTATAAGGGAATCCTAGTCCTAAGAGACTTCTAGTCTAAGACCTAACGTTAGCGAGGGTTATATCCTTATTACCCTATTAAATGCCTTAGCTCTAGCTATCGATAAGCTTACCTTTATAAGCTAGGAAACTTATAAGTCTATTACCCCCGTTAGCGATACTAATACTAATAAGGAGATCGTACTTAGGCGCTCTTAGGTAAGTGCTAATAACCTAGCTACTTTATCTTAATAAAGCGGCTTTAGCTAATAATAGATCGTTACCTAGGCCGCTCCTTAAAATAAGTAGGCTAATATTAATAATAAGGCCTAGCTAAATAAGGGCTAAGACTATCTTAATACCTAGCTAAATAAGGGCTAAGATAATAATAATAGTAATAATAAAGATAGCCGCGATCTAACTCCTCTTACCGATAAACTTAAGAACGGCGGCGCTAAAGATAAAGGCACCTAAGCGGCGGTATAAAGCGGTCGCGCTCTTATAAAGAAGCGCACTTAATTTAAGGCTAAAGCCCGCTTAGTTAAGGCCTATAAGGTTATCCCTTATAAGCTTTAGTATATATATTATTTTAGGATAGTTATTAAGGAGTATAGTACGACTAAGCCTAAGCCTATTAAGGTGCTCTTAATTAGCTATATTTTCTTAAGGGTTTCCTTAACGCGCTATAAGT